TCTCTTACACATACATTCACACACTCTTTAACCAAAATGGCACTCAAGGAATATACATGTAAAGTGAACATTCTAACTGGAGCTCAATAAGTAATGTCACATTCCTCGATCTTGAAAACCTATTTTAGGCTGACCTCTAGTCTGCCTATGCCGGCCCCAGGTCGGGAGAGGAAAGGAAGAGGGTTAGGCTAAGCTGACAATGGAGTCAACGTCAATCATAAAAAATCAACTGCGACGCGATTCTGAATCAAAGAATCTTCACGAAATGCTGCGCCGTTAACGGCTGTAATATTTAGCCGCATACAGTGCAGCACTGACACGTTTTAAAGCAATTTACTGCAAAATTAACAAGTTTTATCTACTTTTTGTATGTGGACTGATGACTACTAAAGTCTAAAGTCTCTTATAAATTCCATTATCTCCCCCAACCCCTCCTCTTTTTACTGTAATTCATGTTAATGTCTGTATCCCTTTTAAGGGGTTAATTAGACCTCCGATTTACTAGTAGACTGAATTGCCGTGTTGCAAAATTATCTTGTCTAAAATAGAGTTTTTTCCTGCTTTTTCGGGTGCTGCCCTCTTTGCGATTAAAAAAAAGAGAGTGAAAAAAAAATCCAAGCACTATTGACAAGAATTCGTTAGAAAACATCCACATAAATCAAAGTGTGTATTAACACAACGTCTTGGATTTATGTTTCATATAGTTTTAAAATCTTTAGATACACACAAGGCAGATGTGGTAAAGACCATTTGGGAACAAGCAACGGAATCAGTAGAAAAACAAGATTATTTTGGTGTGAAGAGAATGAGGCACCTGGGTGTAACCAGAGGGTCTGGCTGGCTTACTACATTCAGAGGAAAGGCAAGACGTAACTAGACTGTGACCGGTACCATCAGTGTTGGAACTCTGCGCTGGTTGCTGAAGATGAGATCGGAGCATGCATGGGAATCCCCTGAGTGCCTTGATGTCAATTCTTGACTCAGCTCAACTAGTGACTCAATGAGTATGCTGAGGAAGATAGAGAAGATTTGGATCCGAAGACATTGGCTGAAGTCTCTAAAGCGGTCAGGCGGACACATGTTTCATAATTGTCCTAGGGTATGCAGGCGTGCAAGGAAATGAGCAAGCAGATGTTAGTTAGTTAGTTAGTTAGTTAGTTGGGTTATCGTCATTGCACTCCGGACATGTCCATAGGTGCTCAGATCCTCCCCTCAGTATGAACCCCAACGTCCGATGGCTAATAGTACCAGTTCTATGTTGATTAACAAGTCTTCTGACGTGTCCGGTGTGCGTCTCGTTTTTTGCTGTGCCGATCTTAATTCCCAAGTCTGCCATTCTGGCGAGTGATGTGGATTCACTGCCACCAAAGTCCCCTATCCTTCCCATTTCTCTGAGGGCATTGATAATATCAGCATGATCCATAGGCCGACCGTCGGTAGTGATAGCGGATCCAGCCAACCTGTCAGCTCTTTCATTTCCATCGACGCCTGCGTGTCCCGGAACAAAAATAAAGGTGACTCCACGCACAGTGGACTTCTGTAACGATTCAAGCCATTGTCTTCGCACTGAACCTGCCTGAACCCTCCGGATCATACTCATTGAATCACTGAGTATACATATGCGGGTGTATTTTTGTGTTTCAAGCCAGGCAAACGCTTGCGTCACTGCCATCACCTCCATCGTCATGCTGCTGGTTGTCATGGAGAAGGCACCGTTGGCTTCTTTGACTGTTCTGCCCGCTGAGCGTGCTGTAAATGCCCATGCGCTTCTTCTTTGGCGTATAACGGATCCGTCTGTATAGATTAGTGCATCTGCTTCGTCTGAATTTTCACCGATGAGAGCGTTGACCTCTGCATTAACAGCAACAGGATTCTCTTCTCTACATCGCCTGTTGAGTGTGACAATACAGGAAAATGTACAAATAAACGCCTGAGGCACAGGTATCCATTCTGCACCAGGTATGATGTCGGTTAGGCTGCATATTTGCCTAATAACATCTTCTGCCCGACCTAGCCACGATTTTCCCCTCTTCGGTCTGTCGCCCTTTTCACTAAAAAGCGCTTGATGCAGTGGGTGTTTCTTATCAGCACATATTTTGAGGTATGCCCGAGCCCTCCACATCCTGATCCTTTGGTTCATTGTTGGAAAGTCAAGTAGATACCTCATTGCTCCACAGGATGTGTCTCTTGTACATCCCAAAATAATGCGCATGGCTTCATTTTGCACCTTTTCGAGTCTTTCAATCTGGGTAGCACTGACAGTGAGGATGGCCAGAGCGTATTCAATGGGTGAAAGGACCAGACCGTAGAATAGAAGTATTAGTAGTCTTTGCTCGATATTGGAAGCAGCCATAATCCTCAATGCAGATAGACCTTTGCGTGCTTTTGTTATCACATGGTCAACGTGTTCCTTGAATGACAAGCTGCGATCGAACCTCACCCCGAGAAACGTCATAACGTTGGTTCTGATCAATACATTATCACGCATTTTCACTTCTGGTAAGTCCGACTTGACAATGTGATTGTTCAAAGAGAACCATGACACTGATGCCTTCGAAGGATTGACATAGGCATTGGAACCATTACACCAGGCGGCAATTCGATTGAGTTCTTTGTGCATTGTGCTGGCGATCTCCTGTCTATCACGCCCTCGTCGATAAATCAAAATGTCATCAGCAAATGACAAAGTCCTTCCCTTTCCATTCAACTGCTGCTCAGTGATCATCACCGTATAAACGTTGAATAAGACTGGTGATAGCGGTGATCCCTGTGGCAAGCCTGGACATATCGTTTGCGGTTCTGAGGACCAGCTACCACATCTTAGTACAATCTTTCTCTGGAACAGGACCGCAGCAATCCAGCGGATCAGAATAGGATTGACTTCTAGTTTAAGCAGTAATTGCATTAAATATTCGTATGGTACTTTATTGTAGGCATCTTCTAAGTCCAACACTGCCGCACATGTCTCTTCTTTAATCTGAAATCCCTCGTACACATCGTAGGCGAAAACAGCAGCATTGAACCATGTCTCTTTCTTCAACCTGTACCCCCCAAGTGTTGATGGGAACTTATCATGTAGTTCCAAGTAGGTGGTCAATCTTTGTGCGACAATTTTTTCCAAAGTTTGCCAACAGTATTCTGCATCGAGATGATTCTGTAGCCGCAGATCTTTGAGTGGTCTTTATTAGGCTTTGGTAGTGGGAACAAATAACTATGGAGCCATTCCTCTTGTATCTGGCCACTCTGGATGCTGATATTGAATTCCTTTGCCACGCTTTTCAAATCAGCATTCGACATCATCAGCATGTCATTGTATCGGATGCCGTCAGGGCCTGGAGCAGTGCTGCGCGATTTCTTGAGGCAAGTTCTTAAGGTGTCTGCAGTGATTGTGAAATCAGTGCCTAGCTCAGTGTTCTCGCACAGCATCGACAGTTTCATCTTAACCCCTATTCTTGCAGCTTCGTCTTTTTGGTCGGTTTGCTCCAAGTAGCGCGCAAGAAGGGTTTTTCCTTTATCAGCATCAGTTCTCTGCCATATCAGGTCTGTACCCTGAAAATCAGGGATACCCCTTGGTCGTGCGGCGCCGTGCATGCTCCGTTGAAGGCGCCAGAATGTCACAAGAGATCCCTCGGAGCAAACGCTCTTGCAGAATTCGTTCCATTTCGCTGTCTTGGCTTCTTTGGCAATTAACTTGAAAGCCACTGTCCGCTTGTTAACCTCATCTTTTAGACTGAGCAGGCGTTCAGAAAGTGACGGATCAATCTTCCTTGCCTTTTGCCATGCCTTGACAGCGTTCCTTTTTTCTAGCCACGCCATGTTGACTTCTTCATTCCACCATGGTGGCTGGGCCCATCTCTCCCGCCGTCTGCGATCTGCTCTTGTTTTACGTCGTCTGATTTTGCTAATGGCATCTTGCCCTGTACGGTCATATAGAAAAGCAGGCACATTTATTACATGACCTTTGTTGTTGCTCTTCTCTACCAGGACGACGCAAGGAAAGTGATCACTGTCGTGGTATCCCAGTGTGCTCCACCTGCATCCTGATGCAATGGAGGGAGACACTAGGGCCAGGTCAATTACGCTGTCAGAATCCCTTGTCGGGTTGCCATTCGGGTAACCTTTCCGTCGTTCAAGCATACTAGATCGGCAGACACTAGGGCATCCTCCAGGTCTTCCCCCTGTTTATTGGTGATTACATTGCCCCACTGGTTTCCTCTGGCGTTGAAATCTCCGCAGTAAAGGACTTTCTTTTCCTCCGTCTGGAGCAAACTCTGCCATTTCGCTGTATCCACCTTTCCATTGCAGGCGTACACATTGACAATCACAAACTGGGCCGGGCCCAACACTCTGACTGCGTGTACTTGTAGGTCGTCATTATCCCACTCAGACATGTCCACCTCAGACACCGGTATGTTGTCACGAACAAGAATGAGCTGTCCGAGGTGCCGTCTATTGTAGAAGGATTGGAAGCCCGCAATTTTAACGATTTCGTCACCAAGGTGTGTTTCCTGTAGGACAACAATGTCGTTGCTGTAGAGGAGCTTCTCAAAAAATGGGTCGGCGTTGACTGAACGAAGCGCAGTTCCAGTAGAGAACGCGAACATATTTTAAGCTGAGTCTCTCACATTTCAGTCGCTTCCTGCAGGCGCCACCGTGCTTGCCTGTTCGCGTTCTCCTTGTCCGTCTACGGGTTGTTTTGAATTGGTGAATAGTCGCCATCGGACGTTGAATACACCCTGAGGGAAGTCTGAACTCACGTGCATGTACTCCATTGCACGGTTCAGACCCCATTTCGATGAAACTTTCACATTATACGTGAGCGAAAATAGTTAATTTGCTCCATTCGCCTCAACGGACGAAAAAGCGTACCGCCATTGTGGCTGTTTACACCGGAAGTCCGCAAGATGTGCTTGCAGGTAAGGCTACAGTGGACACAGGCAAGCAATGGACCATGCTGATATCCTGAATGCTGTACGAGAAGTATTTGCGAGAACCAAGTG